GAATCATCAGTAGAATTCAGTTCTCATGGCCTGTAACAAGATTGCATGCTCTTCGTTATATGCACCCGGACGCTGGCGCTTATAAAAGTTCAGCACTGCTTCTTAATGAGTTTCCAAGTTGTGATGGTGATTTTTGTGTGTGCAGCCTTTGCAATACAATCTGCTGGAGATCACTATAATGATAAATTACCAGAAGAAGCAAAACTTCATTAGCGACCTAAACCCACTTAAGGATGCATTTTCAGCGCATAAAATCTAGTGCATGACCCATTTTGGAAAAAAAAGGTAAAATTGGCTGCCTCCTCTGTCATATTGTTTGGTGTTTCCCCATAACCAATCCATGTGCAGTGATGCTAAGAAGTTAAATTTAGAATAAAAAAAAATTTAACTGATGCCAGGGAACATATAAAAGGGAATATACCTTATTCAAGTTGTACAGTAGCCATATGCTCTCTTTACTGAATTCCAGAATGATTTTGCTTCCCTAGAATTTCATATGTGGATGAATTTGACAAGGAATTTCATATATGGATGAATTTGACAAGGAAAATTAAATTGTTTTCATAAGGAAGAGAAGTTAGTTTGGCATTTATTTTACTCTATTATTGTTAGGAGTAACAGCTAAGTTTACTATTAGAGAAATTAAAGTTGTTTAATTTGTGCATTTACCAGCACTTCATGTCTAGTCAGTTTCACTGTAGTCACTGTAAGTTGAGAGGCCAAAGGAAAAAATAGGGCAGTGGTTAGAGGCAGGTGGGGGGTAAGCATGTTTTTTTTCAGATGGGGTTTACAAGGGATTGGCTGGAAATGGAGAGTTCTTTTCAGGGCAAGCCTATCATTATTTGAGATGAGCAACTGCATTGTACATCACTGAATTTGTTATGCAGAGAAGATTTTACAAAACATGCATGTGGTGAGGGCATCTGTTTCCATTTTTTGCTATTTGTGCTGAGCATTGGTTCTTCTGTGAAATTCAAATTTGACCTTTTCCATGCTTATGAATATTAAAAATATGTATCTAAAACACTTTTCTGGCACTTTTTAGAGTGGTCTTTAGATACTAATTTTAGAACCTTATAAAGTCTGTATTGGCGCTGCAAAGGAACAGACAAATTTCACAGGTTTGTGTTGGCTTAAAGGTCAGGAATGTTGTTAAAAATTTACAGTTTTGAGTGTTTTCTGGGTGGAATTTCCTCCTCATGTGATCCAATAGTCACCAAACCTCAGGGCTACTGAAGGGCACAAAATGAGCAAACAAAGATAATATATATTTTGCTGAGGACACTGAGTATGAGTTATTGAATCCCTAAGTCATTCCATTCCATTCCATTGTACAGGAGATTGTTCCAAATATCCCAAAGACCTTTAATAATGTGTAATTGCAAAGTGGCTGTAGCTTGAAGGACAACTGGAAGCCTCGTGTTGTCGAAAGACCAAAAAAGGAACAGCATTATTGTAGCAGCATGATAGCTAAAGCTTCCGAGTTGATTCACTGGTATCTGCCCAAATTCTATCGCCCTTTTAAAAATTAGAGTCATTTCACTTTTCTTGTCTTTCTTTTTTTAAACCCTGCCTATTGGGGGAATGGCTATCAAAAGCCACACCAGTTATTGGGAGAGAACAGTGTGTGGGAGGAGCCCGAAGACTAGTTGTGAATTTCTTTCTTTTATATCATGATTTTTGATAAGTTGCTGGAATCCAGCTCAGTTCCTGGAGACCAAAAGTCTTTTAGGCTTAATTCCAAAGTTAATCCTTCATCAGTCTCTTTTCCGCTCCACCTCCAATTTTCCTATTCCCTTCTTTGCCTAGATTATGTTACTGTCACAATCTCAGCTCACATGTTTAAATTTTACAGGCATGGAAACATTCTGCTTTGTCCATTAAAGCTAGCAGTTGCCAGAACTCCTCCTAACCAGATCTCTATCTGGCCTTTACACTGAATGCAAGTGATTGTGAAATTGTCACCTACGTACCTTCCTTCCTTCCTTCCTTCCTTCCTTCCTTCCTTCCTTCCTTCCTTTTACTTTTGCTTCAGAAGTCAACTTTGTGGCCTGGTCTACTCTGCCGCTGCTGGTTGATCTAAGCTATGCAATTTGAGTTATGTTAGTAGCGTAACTCAAATCAACATAGCTTAGATCTACTTACTGCGGGGTCCATACCATGCTATGTTGCCGGAAGACGCTCTCCTGCCAACATTGCTTCCGCCTCTCGTTGAGGTGGAGTACACAAATCGATGGGAGAGCGCTCTCTCATCGATGGAGAGTATCTTCACTAGACCCGCTAAATCGATGCCACTGCATCGATTGCAGCAGCACCAATTTAGCTCCATAGTGAAAACAAGCCCCTACGTCTTTTCAGTCCTGGAATTCCAGTGGAGAGAAATAGCTATGGAGAGTGTGAGTGTTGCGGTATTACAGCAGCAATGGATTTGATTTGAGGGAATACATTATCCCTTGGATTAGCAGTAGCAGAAACTGAGGCTATGTCTACAACATAGGTACTTATAGTACCCAAAACACACTAGACTGGAGCAGTGTGAATCATGAAATGGTTTCTTAATCCCCATGACAATTTCATTCAAATTCATTGTCACTTGTGAGCCATATTGTGGCATGTATAGAACATTCATGGCTTTCAATAGGAGTTTCAAGAGAACACTGTGGGCAGTTTGCATCCCTTAGACAGAGCATGCCTTTCTGCTCCAGGACTATATTCTATCACAGTGAATTTTGGGAAAATTTATCCACAATAACCCATAAATCCCATCTGAACGTATTTTCGTTCTCATAAGAGAGAATCTATAATATTCTTAATGCACGCTACCGGTATGAGCTGAATTTTCAAAAGTGGGTTCTTTAACATGAAGTCCAAGACCTACATTTGGATGCTCACATATAAGCATGATCTGAGTATCCAAGATTTGAACATTCTCGTCAAGGGGTTACATTTTGGGCTCCTTGGTTTATCTGTACTGTCAGTGGCATTTTCTCTTTCTCCCCTCTTCACTTCTAAGCCAAAAAAGAAATCTAATGAAACTGAGGGACAAAATGATGCTTAAACAACACGAAGAGCTTGATTTTAAAACAGAAAAAGTGAAGGAATTCAGATTTAAGGCTAATATTTTGTCTTCAACTCACCAGTAGTGCAAATAACTATGACCTGTCTTATGTGCCTCAATAACCAGACTGAGTTAAGGATGATGGTTTTACATTAGTTAATGAAGGTGATACTGAATATACATTTTTTTTGTTTTCATTTGGGTGCAAGGACTTGGAATAGATCACATAAGGATTTTGAAACACAACGGGCTATTGATACCCGTTTGTACTATTGATACCTGTTTGTACATGCGTCTGACGAAATGGGTATTCACCCACGAAAACTTATGCTCCAATACATCTGTTAGTCTTAAAGGTGCCACAGGACTCTCTGTTGCTTTTTACAGATCCAGACTAACACGGCTACCCCTCTGATGTTTGTACTTAGAATAAAATGAGTTATGATACACAAAGAACTCAGTTCATAAGGTATCTACGCATGTTTCTTTACTCTGCAACCATAGGACTATGGACATTAGTTTGTAGAATGAGCAGCTGATTTGAAAAAAAAATACTGACATTATGTGGCTGCAAAGGGACATGTAGGAGGGGATTTGGCATGTATGTGCACTTTTTAAATGAAACTGAAATATGGGCAGGGATATCTTTTTATACTCATAAAACGTCATCTGGGATTTTGTTATGCTATTTATAATTAATAATTTAATTATTTAATAATTCTAGCACCTTATGGATATTTTTGTGCTTATCCACAAAAGCAGCACATGTATGACTATAAGGGGTGCACATCCCCATTGTATTGAAGTTTTGCCCGGCACATTAGGTGAGGAATCCTTTTGCTGCAGATGGAGCACAATTATTGTGTAAACACACACATTCGCTCCCTGTGAAGCTGATATATTTGCCCTGGTTCTTCAGCTTCAAAAACACAGGCTACTTATACTTCCGTTAGTTGGCAGTGCTAGTAAGTCTTTTATCCATTCTGTTTGGCAGCTGTTAGAGGGCAACATCATACATAAATACAGTACATACAAAGCCAATACGTGACTGTAGGATACTGGTTGACACTTGAATACTGCCTGTGCCCCTCAAGAGGTTAATCAGCCATGTATCCTTCTCTCTCAAAACAAAGTGCCACCGGCAGCACAGAAGAGAAGGGAGTAACACACATCAGCTCTCCCTGTACATGGCCTATCACTCCCTCCACACACTGTTATTTCAATTAAATGAGATTTCCTGAATTGGTAGCTCCCCGAGTCCCTACCTACCATCTTTCTCTGTTTGTATTGCTGAGGTAGCATATGGGCATGTGTACTAAGCGTATAAGGCAATATGGAGATGATATGAACAAAGGGAAAAGGCAGTGCAAGTTAACAACAACAAATGATTGTGTAAATCAACATTACACAGAGACAATTTAACCTCCACCCAAGACATTGACTTTTCTACAGTATTAGTACCATTTTTTTAAATGAAGAGATTTTGTTTATGCATTCAAACCAGCTCTGTGAGTTTTCTTCGGTGATATCTTCTTTCTGGCTTGCACAGCACTTGAGTGTATAATGAGGAGACATTATTTGCCCCCCTTTCCTGGAGGGAAAGTGGGTTGGTTAATTTTCAAATAACTAATTGACTCAGAAACAATGTTCCATTCATTTTCCTCAAGGACGCTCTAGGAAGGTGCCTAACATCTATAAATCAGGTCTGTTAAACACACCTTTGACTCATATACAGCTTTTATCCCTGTTTTCTTGCAGCACGCCCTTGGCCATGTGGACATGTTATGCTTATCCTCTGCTATGCAAATCAGGGCCTGCAAAAGCAGGGAAAGAGGAGTTGTTGGTGGAGTGGAGAAAATGGCTGCAGGAGGCATTTCTGGAGGTATGGCAGGAGGGAGAGAGGTGATAGCTGGTGAGCTAAGGAGACACTTTATCTCTACAGATTCTGGAAGTAACATCCTGAATGGTGGCCTCTGTGACAATTGATTGAAGTGCTTTTGTGCGTGGACTCAAGGTGCGTTGAATTGGCTAAGCGGGAACAATCAGTATTTACTCCAGTTAATTTCTCCAACATAGATAAAGCCTCTGTCAATTCATACCAGACTTTTAGCTTAGATTTACATCCCCCTTAATATAGTCTTGTCTTTGTTTAGTGTACTGTGCCAAAATTCTCACCTTCCAAAGTTCTCCTATAGTATAAATCAGGAGCATACCTGAAAGTGCTAACAGTAGATAAATTACTGTGTATTCTTATTACCCTGTGTCCAATGGCATATCATGGATTTTTTCACACTAACTAAAAGACAGCTGTAGTTTTTTAAGGATAAGTGAACAGGCTCAGTTAAAATAAAAACTAATCCAAAACTTGATTTTAAACCTATTGCAAACTTTTGAAAAAGTGTTCATTTTCTCTCTGCATTGTCTGTCTTTTTCTTGCACTTCTGCACTTCCTGGTTCAAGATCAGAGTAGAAGTATCAAAGTTCTGAAGAAAGACTGCTCTCCTGGAATTTCTGGCGTGACAGAAAGCAGGAAGCTTCAGAAAACATTTTAAGACAACTTGTTACTGCAAAGTTTCCACTCCAGCTTGGCAGACCTCAGAATATTTAGATAAACATCCCAGTTGGACCTCTGACCTTTTTAAGGTCTGTCTGTTGCTATTTTGGAAAACACATAATTGAGATTTGCTTTAAAAATAATCAGATTGATTTTAATTCTAAATTTGGTTGAAATCTTGTGCTGGTTTCATTCTAAATGTGGTTGAAACCTTGTGCCCTGGTGCTGATAACACTTTTACCATTTTGATCAGAGTGATATTTTGTAAGTTAAGAAAATTGCTGATATTACCTGCCATGAATATACTATGAACATAAAAATTAAATATTAGACAGGAGAACATTACACACTGCAACACAACACATTAAATAAGTGCTGTATTGGTATCTTGTAGATTTCAGAATCTTTGGAAATCCACATGAGACTTTCCTGCCTTTTGTATTTAATTCAGAATCCAGTAATAAATTTTTTGCTTTCAACTATATACTATACCAAAACATTTTTCATTAACAATTACAAAAGTCTTCTGGGGGAGCACATCCCCAGATCCTTTTTGAAATGCTTGACATGTTAACTATGTACTGTCTTTCTGGAGATTCTCTAAAACTGTGGAATAGCATAACAGTCTTTGGGGCAGAGACTCTCATTTGTGACATGTTTTGTAGTTTGCCTAGCAAAATGGGGCCTACCTGGTTGTGACTACGCCAATATGTTAAATAATAACAACATTCAAAATATTATATCACCATAGCTGAGTTACAACTGATGAAATAATTACCAGCAAATAATTTAGACAATGCATTTGGCCATATCTTTGGCTTGTTGAATGTTCATGCACAGTGTCCTGAAACTCACTTGTTGAGTAAATTTGAATAAATGTTTTTGTTTTTTTTCTCTGGATTGATTGTGAACAGATCACTGTCCATGCCAGAGGTGGGCAAACTACAGCCTGCAGGCTGGATCTGGCCCACCAGCCATTTTAAGCTGGCCCTCAAGCTCCCGCTGGTGAGTGGGGTCTGGGGTTTGCCCTGCTCCAGCACTCCAGCCAGGAAGCAGGGTCAAGGGCCGCTCCACACAGCTCCTGGAAGCCACGACATGGCCCCGCTATGGCTCCTACGTGCTCCTATGGCCCCCTCCGGCGCTCCAATGGGAGCTGCTGGGGTGGTGCCTGTGGACGGGGCACTGGGCAGAATCGCCTGGCCATGTCTCCGTGTAGGAGCTGGAGAAGGGACATGCTACTACTTCCAGGAGCCAGTTGAGGTAAGCGCCACCCAGAGCCTGCACCGCTGAGCCTCTCCCGGTGCCCCAACCCCCTGCCCGGATCCCTCTCCTGCCCTCCAAACCCCTCGATCCCAGCCCGGAGCACCCTCCTGCACCCCAAACCCCTCATCCCCAGCCCCACCCCAGAGCCCGCACCCCTAGCCAGAGCCCTCACCACCCCCCGCACCCCAGAGCTCCCTCCTACATCCTGAACTCCTCATTTCTGGTCCCATCCTGGAGCCCACACCCCCAACCAGAGCCCACAGCCCCTCCTGCACCTCAACCCCAATTTTCTGAGCATTCATGGCCTGCCATACAATTTCTATTCCCAGATGTGGCCCTCGGGCCAAAAAGTTTGCTCACCCTGATCTAAGCTCAAAGTTTGAGGGGTGTGCTTATTAGTTGTGGTTGACATGTAAGTCACATGGGGTTTTTTCTGTTCTTTGATTCGATGAGCATAACTCCTACAATCTAGAGGAGGACATGAAGAAATCAGGGCTCTGAACCTGTCAGAAAGAGGTAGATGATGAGCAGATTTGCTGAATTTTAGAAAATCTGAAATATTTTCCTTTTGGGCCATACAGGACAAGATGCCCATGATGTCAGTCTTTGAAAAATTAGGGGACTGCACCTTTATTGGTTGGATGCAGAGTTTAGCTCATATTTTTTTAATCACAAGCACACAAAGCAACTGCTTGTGAATGTAGGGTCCTACCTGCAAAGGAGATGCTCATCTCCTTGTCTGGCTATTTTAATTGCTACTCTGCCAATGTTTTTGTGACAAGTTTTGGAATGCTGTCCCCTTATTGTGCCAAGTGGTATCTTCTTCCAGATAAAACCTCACATGTGGCTTGAAACAGCTCAACTTCCAACTCATAAAGTTCCCATACAATCCTTGACACTACTGAAAAACACTAGCTATACTGGACTTCCCCACCCCAAAATATATTTTCTCTGGTATATGTGAAATGGGACCACAGAACTGAAAAATAGCTATGGAGGTTTGAAAAGAATCCCAAATCCTTCAGAAGAGTGTGTTGCAAATGCGTGTTGAAGCAAAGAAATTTATGAAGTCACAGAAATCCAAGAAGAGGGAGTAGATTAAATCCAAATTTAAGGCAAAACTAGGTTTGTTTCTCTTAATACTTCTCAGCCGTAATGGGGAACTTGACTTGGTTAGTTATTAAAGCCATCTTCAGGCAAACAGTAGGTGTGAGGTCTTTGATTCAGTTGCCTATATGTTATTTCGAGAGGGTGTTATGCGTGCTGTAACATGCATTTTCAACAAGTGTTGTATTTTTTTCATATGAAATCTTCACTTCACTGCTTCAGTCTTGTCTGTAGGGTAGGATACTCGGGATCTTTATTTTAAAGCTGCAAGTTAATATGGTCTACAGTTGATTACAACTTGTGTGACAGGAAATGGTTTTCCCCTTCCCCCTTTGAGGAAAAATCCACATACCCTGTAATAACAGCAAACGCAGCTTTCATTTATCATCTTAATGATCCCTTCTCCCTGTTCTTTAAGTAATTCGGAAAGTGTCCTCAATGTTATCATCAAAATACCCTTTCCCTTCTTTATCAAGTAACAGAAGGTCAGGTGACAAAACAAACAATTCATCATTTGGAAACTCCTGTATTAAAAGGACACTATCCGGTGACTTAAGCCCAGGATTTATGTTAAAAAAAAATAATTACAACCCTATATAGTGGTATAAACATTTGCATGGAATTTTTTAAAAATTACAGCGAAAACAGTCCGTGTTTAGTTTTAAACATTCCCCTGCAATGTTCATAAAACAAATTGTAGCTTTTTACTAGTGCATGAAAATATATAAACACTTTCTGGCTTTCATTTTCTAAGCTTAAGGAAGTGCAAAAACTAAACAAACAGTATAAATGACAGTAAGCGGAATTTACTTTTCAATCCACCTTGTCATTACTAATGTAGGGAAGAACATTTTTAATAGGATTGTTTTTAAAACTTGTCTGTTCCTTTAAAGAGAGTGGAGAGAGAAACACAAGATGTGCAGTGAGATAGAGAGGGAGAACTCTGTGCGTAGAGTGGAGCTTTAGTAGAAAACAGAACTGTCTGTGCTGAGACAATATTACAGAATCCTAATTCCCCTTTCATGAATAGGAGGCTCATAGCAAGTCCATAGGTGAATTTTAGGTTTTGGGGTTATTCTTGCCATCCACAGCAGAGAGGGGCCAAACCAATTTAGGAAGCTAAGTGTCCTTTCCTTTCCAGGAGGTATCTCTGTGCTGGGGCAGAAGGCAAGTATTTTGTAGTGATGCGGTAAACCTCAAAAGTTTGGCCCTTTAGTTTTAATAAGCATTCAAAGATTTGGATGCTTAACTGAACCTCTTTAATCTGGGTAGTCCAATAAGTCCTTGAAACTTCCTCACAAGACTTTTAGCACTTCCTAGTTTCATCTGGGACAGAAATACCATGACCCAGGCCTCTCTTATGGTATTTCAGCACTTCCATTTCTTGTCCCAGCCAAAGACAATAAAATAAAAAGTTAACCAAACTTTTTTAAACCTCAAAAATTTTGGGTTCAGATCACGTAGAGGTTTGGGTGAAGGTTGTGGTTGGATTTTATTTTATCTGGAGATGGGCCCTAACCAAAAGCCTTGGAATTGTTCAAAATCCAAACCTGGGGCTGTACCTGAATTTTGCAACTTCTTTTTATTGTGGGACAAACTAAAATCACAGATCCAAACATCCCCAAACATTGGGTGTGTCAGATCTAGATCCAGACTTTGTCCATAGGAATCCATATCTTAGTTTACCAAACCTGATACTTTGCATTTCTAGATCACCTTTCATCTGAGAATCTAAAAGTAAATCTAAAAGTACTTTGGAAATATTCATTAAGCCTTAAATATTGACTGCAAGGTAGGTAAAGTAAACCTCATCAAATGCCTCTTAGGCATCATTTTACATATGGGCAAACCTGAGCTACAGAAAGGTTATTAGATGCCTAATGTCACGCAGCACATCAGCATCCGAGCCAGAGAAAGAACCCAACAGCCCTGAGTATCTTTTGAAGATAATAGGTGATCCAAGTTAGTTCTGTTCACTGATTAAGGTAAGTTAAATTAAACTTCCTTTGTTTGCACATTAATATCAAGATCTCAGGTTGGTGAACGCACAGCACAAAGCAGGCGCTCTCATATCTGAAGCACCTCTGAACAAGTGCTGTTTAAACCTTGCAGATGCTTTCTTTCTAATCTGGCTATATCAGTGATGCCAGGAATTTCCTCTTGTTTTTAATTAATGCCATCAAGAAATGTACCATATCAGGCACCGACACAGCACATCATGGGATAATGAAAACCTACTTTAATCACCACATGAGAGTCACTGGAAGGATCTGGTTCAGTGACTTACTGAGCAATTTAATCAATCAGAAAATTAAATAATTGCTGCCTTATTACTAAAGTCCTTTATTTCTGAAACCCAAACTAGGCTCCTTTAAAAGGAAAATCAGATTATGTTAATTTTCACTGCGGAAGTGCGTAAAGCTCCGAATGCTTACAAGACACAATATTCAGCTTATCTACTCTTCTGTGGCTGCTTGGAGGTAATACAGTAGCTTGTAAAAAGCAAAATGGCCCCTGACTACCTTCATAAAATTAGCCTGAGTTAGTTTCAGATATGGGCTTGATCTGCAAAGTTCAGAGAGAAACTTTCTTAAAATCTGTGGGGTTTTGGTTGGGACCTAACTCTAGCCCATTTACACATTTGATTTTGCTGTTCTACAGTATTTCAACACTACTCCTGTCTATTCTTTTACTTCCGTGGAGTTTTTGGGAAAGTTACGTTTCTAAACTTTTACTTTCAACCCCTGCCTTTTTTAGGTCACTTACTCATCTAGCATGAAACAAGAAAACAGTCCTGACATTCTCTCTCACACTCACCATTCCCATTTTAGGGTATGCCTTGATCATAATTTATTTCAAGGGGAAACTCCTTCCCCAATTCTCTTATGAACCTCCCTTAAACAGAGCTGTGCAGAACTCACTGCCTTCAGTTTACATGACTTTAGCAAACCAAAATATCTGGGTTTTGATCACAGGCCCCCAGAATAATATTCAGGTTGCCCAGATGCAAGGTGTTCTGGAGCATCCCTTAGTCCAGTTAGCCAGCAGGAGCAAGCAGCCTTCCTGTCTCACTACTGCAGGATGGGAAAGTGGATGGCCTGCTTTGCCTCATAGGAACCCTGAAATGAATGTGGGGACTGCAAAGCCACCAGACCCTCCTCACCCCCAACAGTGATGATATGAGAGAAAGTTGCTACTCAATGCCTCATGAAAGTCTTGGGTCGAAAATCTTTGTTGCCTAAACTAATGCATATAGCTTCAGGTGGTGCCATAAGCCCTTGCAAGTTGTTGGGACCCAGTAGTTTAAGACAAGGACATATATATTGCTATGCTAGAGCACAGGAACACACTAGATGATGGCATGGGATCACCTGATCAACTACTAGGTCATCATTTCGGTTAAATTTTGTCCTCCACAAATCAACTTTTAAAGCGAAAGGTCACCGGCCCAGCTACAGTTCA